AGTGCATGGCCTGGAGTCTTTTTTTAAAATCTGATTTGATTTTCTTTTAGTGAAAATAAGTGAAGTCATTCTTAAAATATTTTGAATGCGAATTATGAGCCAAGAGCTGTAAAGATAAAGCCAAGGTTTAGGTAATAAGTAACAATTAGAAATGAATTGTGTCAAAAATCAACAAGGTATTTTTGAGACTTTTAATTATCATAAATATTTATCAAGAATATTAAGATTGCTCTTGTATTTTTCCTGATAACCCCTGCAAGGTCATATCAAATCAGGCATCTCACAGATGTGGAATCTAGAATCACCTGAATTACCCTTCCAGGATGAATTGTGAATTTTAGTAGATCCATTTCTCTCCCTCCACCCCCCCTCTCTCTCTCCAGAATGAATTTTAGTAGATCCCCCCTCTCTCTCACACATACTTTCTCTCTTCCTTTCTTCTTCATCTCTTTTTTTTATAAATAGGAGAGAAAGAGTTCTGTGTGAACCAAAATTGCATTACTCTACATTTAACAAAATAATGGTAAGTTTTGCCCTCTAAATTGTACCCTCTTTCATGAATTAACTAATGGAATTTTGCTGTGTTGGCCGCCATGTTTCTTTGCTCTGCAGGAGCAACAGTGTCTTTTAATTTTTCCGTGACTTTAAAGTCTTCTTGGCTTCATCCATGGATCATGGCAGATGTGGTTGATGTGTGTGCAGAAAGCAGAGTCCTGTATTCCCTGGAAAGCTGCAAAGGTCAGGGTTAGAAATAGCGAGGCTGGTTCTAAAGCCATGTAGTGCCCATTAGTGCTGCCCATTGAGGCCAAATCTCCTAAACTTAAACCCACATATTGTGAATAGGAGCTGTTTGATCACACAGCCAACTCTGTATGTAAAAATATCACAATGTCACAATAATTTAAAGGAAAAATTAAATGTTCAAATTTATGACCTGGTACCATTGCTCTGGATAGAAAATGTTAACTTAATACGAGTCTCAGTTTTATTTACTTCAAATAACCATCTTTTAAATAGTTGTGGAAATTAAGAAACTTCAGAGGATGGAGAGGCGAGTATGTATTGAGAAACTGCCACGTGCCGATTTTATGTCCGTTGACTTTAAAAACATACTCATCTCTCTTGTGGCTTTGAAAACACCTTGGGAAGTTGAGGAAGGGGGAGTCTCGTGTTATCAGTTTTTGTGCTGAGACGCCAGCGAGGCTGGGTGTGTGTACCTCCTGAGTTCTTGGTGCGCTGCAGATGAGTTTTTGCAAGTTCGCTGTCACAAGTGGGATGCGGCTTTGCTATCTGTGCTGGGAAGGCACTCAGGAGCTTTCGGCAACCACACGGCACGTACGGGAGCGCTCCTCTGTCTTCGCCACCACCCACTCCCCGTTTCGTTTAGTACCGTTTCCTTTAAAAGTTACCGGTGCATGTGCCCATGTCTGTGTGAGCTTGTGTACGTGTGGGTGTCTGCAGAGGGTAGAAGCGGCTGTTGGCTTCCCCGGAACTGGGGTTGCAGATGCTTGTGAGCCTCCTGGTGATGGTGATGGAAACAAGCTGGGGTCTTCTGCACGAGCTGTGTGATGTTGTTTTCACCCTTCAGCTTTACTCTCACAGAACAAGGTTGTAGGGGGACATGGGACAAACCCGAAAGCAAAAGGATACATTGGAAGGTCCAGGGACAGGGTGTTGGGAAAGTCCTGTTATTTGTCAATAAAGCACTGTTGGCCAATAGGGAAATAAGATAGGAGTCGAGGAGGACTCTGGGTAGGAGAAACACAGAGAGTCAAGATGTAACGCCATGGGGGAGGAAGCCCGGGACTATTCTCCGGTAAGAGAAATACTTAGATTAACAATTATGGGGTAATTACTTAAGTTAGAGCTAGCCAGTAAGAAACAAGCAAGGCCAACAGCTTCATAATTAATATACTCCTGTGTGTTTATTTGGGACTGATGCGGCTCTAGAACCAGGCTGTTGGGAAGGCTTCTCTCAAGGAAAAGGCTTCTCTTTACAACAGGGAAATAAGATTTCCCATGGTCTTTCCGTTCTGCTTTACCTGCTTGCCGGCTTCAGGCCCTGGGATAGTGCTGTGCGGCCCACATTCAGGGAGGGTGGGACAGTGCTGCTCCGCCCACATTCAGGGAGGGTGGGTCAGTGCTGCGCGGCCCACATTCAGGGAGGGTGGGATAGTGCTGCTCCGCCCACATTCAGGGAGGGTGGGATAGTGCTGCTCCGCCCACATTCAGGGAGGGTGGGACAGTGCTGCTCCGCCCACATTCAGGGAGGGTGGGACAGTGCTGCTCCGCCCACATTCAGGGAGGGTGGGATAGTGCTGCGCGGCCCACATTCAGGGAGGGTGGGACAGTGCTGCTCCGCCCACATTCAGGGAGGGTGGGACAGTGCTGCTCCGCCCACATTCAGGGAGGGTGGGACAGTGCTGCTCCGCCCACATTCAGGGAGGGTGGGACAGTGCTGCTCCGCCCACATTCAGGGAGGGTGGGACAGTGCTGCTCCGCCCACATTCAGGGAGGGTGGGATAGTGCTGCGCGGCCCACATTCAGGGAGGGTGGGACAGTGCTGCTCCGCCCACATTCAGGGAGGGTGGGACAGTGCTGCTCCGCCCACATTCAGGGAGGGTGGGACAGTGCTGCTCCGCCCACATTCAGGGAGGGTGGGACAGTGCTGCGTGGCCCACATTCAGGGAGGGTGGGATAGTGCTGCTCCGCCCACATTCAGGGAGGGTGGGACAGTGCTGCGCGGCCCACATTCAGGGAGGGTGGGATAGTGCTGCTCCGCCCACATTCAGGGAGGGTGGGACAGTGCTGCTCCGCCCACATTCAGGGAGGGTGGGATAGTGCTGCGCGGCCCACATTCAGGGAGGGTGGGACAGTGCTGCTCCGCCCACATTCAGGGAGGGTGGGACAGTGCTGCTCCGCCCACATTCAGGGAGGGTGGGACAGTGCTGCTCCGCCCACATTCAGGGAGGGTGGGACAGTGCTGCTCCGCCCACATTCAGGGAGGGTGGGATAGTGCTGCGTGGCCCACATTCAGGGAGGGTGGGATAGTGCTGCTCCGCCCACATTCAGGGAGGGTGGGATAGTGCTGCTCCGCCCACATTCAGGGAGGGTGGGACAGTGCTGCTCCGCCCACATTCAGGGAGGGTGGGACAGTGCTGCGCGGCCCACATTCAGGGAGGGTGGGATAGTGCTGCTCCACCCACATTCAGGGAGGGTGGGATAGTGCTGCGCGGCCCACATTCAGGGAGGGTGGGACAGTGCTGCTCCGCCCACATTCAGGGAGGGTGGGATAGTGCTGCTCCGCCCACATTCAGGGAGGGTGGGACAGTGCTGCTCCGCCCACATTCAGGGAGGGTGGGATAGTGCTGCGCGGCCCACATTCAGGGAGGGTGGGTCTACCCTCCTGAGTCGATCCTCTGTGGAAACAGGATTTTGAAGTTGAATAATGCAGGGTTGTAGGAGGTAGCATCAGCATTTTGTTTTTGTGATTGGTACATTATCCTTGAGCATTCAGATTATGGAATTTAAATTCTGGCTGGGTTGGTGTCTCAGTGGGTAAAGCACTTGCTGCACACCCCTAACTACTTGAGTTCAGATCGCCAGGATTTGTGTAAAGCTGGGCTTGGTGGCACACATCTGTAATCTCAGCACTCCTAAGGTTAGATGGGAGGTACAGATAGGAGAATTCCTACAGCATCACAGGCCAGCTAGTCAGGGTGCACTGGCAGGAAAAACAAAAAATGCTGCCTCAACCAAAGTTGAAGGTGAGGGCCAACACTCAAAATTGCCCTCTGACCTACACATGAATGCCATGGTACATGTGTGTCCAAGGCGCACACGCACACGTGCACACACACACACACACACACACACACACACACACACCACTATTTAGAAAAGTAAGCCAGTGTGACTCAAATAGAGGCTAACCAGAGTTATGAAAATAAATGAAATAATCAAAACGAAAATCTTATATTGCTGTTTTATATATGGTTTTAAAACTTATGGAAAAACCATGTGCTCTCATGCTCACAGGAAAGTTGTAACAAGAGAGCCGTGTGTTTAAGCGAGCATGCTTGAAAACCGGGTTTCAGCGCCTTTTTACTTGGTTCGTACAGAGTGGGTCACATGGGTCATACCAAGTCATTACAGTGGGGGAACAAACCACTCATGTTGTTACTAGGCCTTTCCTCTCTTGCTGACGTTCTATAAGTTGGTATTGGTGTGTGTGTGTGTGTGTGTGTGTGTGTGTGTGTGTATGTGAGTGCGCACACACGTGTGAATGTGTCTGTTTCCTCCTAGTATCATCTTTAGAGATTTTTTTGTCTCTGTTTGTCCAGGTCCTGGCCCTTGCAGTTTCCTTATCCATCTATACTGGAAGATTATCTGTCTTAGAGTTGAAGTGACCCTCCCTCTTGGAACATGGAGATAAAGCACTCTTTGTTGAGATGAAATCAAGTACTGTTTTAGTTAGGGTAGAAATACCACAAGAGCCTTCAGGCAAATCACAAGTGCAAGGAAACTCATTAAGTCAGAGAAATTGAGCCTTATATTATTTTGTACCTGTGGGACTCTAACAGCCTAATGGCAAACTGAAGAGCTATGCTGATTTTAAGGTGATGCTCAAACTGGTGACAGTACACCAGTGTAATTAAACATAAATTTAATTTATTTTACATTTGTAATTTGTAAATTCAATGTAATACCCAGGATGCTCTTTTTTTAGTTAAGCTTAGGAGAAATACACATATTCAATCAACAGTTTTCAGTAAAATAAATACTTATTTTCATATTACCCACATTGTTAGTATTAGGTGAAATACAGAAAACCCACTCTGTTGTCAGATTAAGAAAATACAATACAAAATGTAAGATGTGTTTATAGAAACAGATTAGAGAACAAAAAATGCATTCAATAAGCTGAAGGAAGGATACCATTTCAGTATTATTGGCATGAAACTGTACATAATTTAATATATGTGCATTTTTATTTTCAGATTCAAAATGCTAATGATGTGTTAATTGCACCCCTTGAGAAATTTCGAAAGGAACAGATTGGTGCAGCTAAAGTAAGTGTGACTTTTTCTTATGCTTCAGATATTCTCCTGATGATTAAAGGCGATATAACATCAGATGTTAATGTTTTGCAGTTAGAATGACCTATTAAAATACTTTGTGTGTTTAAAATGACATCATGTTAAAACTCTTTTCTTTTTGATAGCCCGTTACGAAGCTGGGGTTCATTTAAAAACTAAACGGCGGTCTTCTGCTGAGTAGAGAGCATGTCTGTGTTACATGGGCTCCTCATGCCCTGCAGTGATAGGGAATACACACTTTTGAAGAGAGGAGGAGGAGAGTTTGTAAAATTAAAAGAGGTATTGTCTTTACTGGAAATAAAATAAAAGTAGGTTTGCTATGTACCGAAAAGTACATCAATAACATCAAAAGAACTTGTATTATTCTTTGGAAAGCTTTCTATGATGAATGTTTTGTGGGAAAAACTTTAAATACATTTGACAGAAAGCCTTTGCATTACTGTTCATTGATTATGGCTGGCTAAAATTTACATATCTGCCTATGGTTCATTGATTTGTGTACATTCACACACACATACTATAGTGAGCATATGGAAATCTGGGGACATCTTGAAGGAGTTGGTTCTCTTCTACTGTGTGGGTCCCGGGGATTGAACTCACTTAGTCAGGCTTATCAGCGGGTGCCTGTCCATGATGAGCTATCTCACTGGAATCCACTATCACTCTGCTCTTTTTTGGAAATTTTATTCTTTGACGACTCCAGACGTGTGTATGATGTTGCCCCTCCCACACTGAACTCTTCAGCTCATCCCCTCCCTCTCTCACCCCTGCCCTTATCTGTGTTGGACTCTGCTGTAGTCAGTTAATGACAGCCGCCTCCTCCACTCCAGCAGCAGGGTTGGTTCTTCTGGGGGACTGCTTTCTCTCCTCCATCTCTTCTGGCTGGAGTAACGTTATTTCTTACTGACTGGTCTGCGCACCCCCGTTTTACCCTGTCAACCAAACTTGTCATGTTGGAGCCTGTCATTCTTCCGCTCAGGAGACCTTCAGTAGCTGTGGTTTTAACAGAATATGTAATCCTAATAAAATCCCCCACGAGTCGGCTGGCTGCTACAATTCATTGCAGACATGGATGTGAGCTTGCCTTCCTCCCAGTGCCCCTCTTCCCTTCTCCCTGCAAAAGTGGTTACCCTCTCCATTTTGACATCCTGCTAGTGACTTATGTCATATGGCAGCATCAGGAAGCCGACTTCCTCATTCATGCCCCTTTCCAATGCTCTGTTTCTCATGCACAAGTGACATTTCCCCTTTTCATAGGATGAATAGTTCTTAGCCTTGTTTCCCATAATAAGTCATCAGTGTTTGTCTTGAATTAGAGCATGGTACACACATCTCCAGCAGTGCAAATCCGATTTCATCTAAAGAGTGAATCAGAGCCCCTTCTGTTAATTAGCTCAGCAAATATTTGCTACTCTCATGGTTGCCTCTGTTGCAAGTCTAGTATTTGATAAGATTAAAGACCACAGCTGTAAAAAGAGAGTCACGATCCTTACTCTGTGTCCCTTACGACTTGGGGGACAACAGCCACTAAAGCCACAGAGAATGCGTTGAAGAGTGTTTCCCAAAAGTGGAAGGGTGATGTGTAACGGTGCTGAGTAGACCTGGAGTAAAGCCGCTCTCCTCTGCAAGGGCTCCACATCTTGTGGATGTTTCTGTAGCTGGGTTAGGGAGCCTCCTGAAGCATTCCCTCCTAGGTCTAGTGCATTTCCCCAGCCCATCATGCAAGCGGTAATTACAGTTGTTGTGGATGACCGCTTTCTCCAGGAAGGCTGGTGTTAGCGGAGGCTGTAGAAGCAGGAGTAGCATCACCCGCTCTTTGTGTGTGTGTGTGTGTGAACATATCAATCAGTGGACAGGACAACTGAGAATACAGAAGAGGACATTATGGTATCATGTCGTTGTCTAGTGGCTGGGTGTTAAATGTGAAGCCAGTGACATTGTGAGCGGGATACTTGGCCGTCTGTCATGATGATTCTGTTTCGTGCGCCTGCTGTGTTTACTTCTGAATTGCTAAGGGGACTTTAGGAAGGGGAAAAGTGAAGCAAGTGTCCTTTTCCGAAGTGTGTTATCTGTTCCTTGTCCTTCGGGAGTGTGAAGCGAGCGTGTGTGGGGGTATCTGTCTTACTTGTTGCTTTGCTTCTCTGCCTGTTTATTTGCAGGCTTGTTTGGTATGTAAACCTAATTATCCAAAGGACTCTGAAACTTTTCAGTCTGTCCGGTGGAATTTCCCACAAGCATTTGGGGTCAATTGACCAGCCGGTATGGGGAGACCAGGATATGGATGAGCCTAGAATCTCACACGGCAGACAGCTACCCCTGCCTCTCCCCCAACAGGAGTGGAAATTGCTGTATCAAGTGTCTTTGGCCTCACAGCCAGATGACACTGTTCAGTTGAAGTGGACCAGTGCCCCAGCCACAGACTCGTATTCATTCTGTCATGTGCTCTGCGGAGCATTGAGACACCTGACCCTCCACTCCGCTGTGCAAAGTGCGGCTCTTAGTGAGTTCCAGTTGTGGGAAGGAGACGGTTGTGCCAGAGAGAGGAGACTAATGATGGGTGATTGAACTAGAGGACAGGAAACCGGGCCTGCTTTTCTTTTCTTTTCTTTTCTTTTTTTTTTTTGAGTAGCTGGAGATTAGAAGCCTTATCTATAAACAGTTGTCACGGATGTATTTCTTGGAAGGTTCTTGGTCTAGTAGTATATGAAGAATTGAGTTCTATTGTAGACCAGTAGGCAGCATTGAATGTTTGGGTTAACTAACCTCATGACAGTTTTGGTTTAAATTCTGCAAACATGAACTGAAAGTAGGTATTCACAACAATTACTGTGAGAATCCCCAGTGTATGGAGGTATCCGGAGTAGTGTTCTTACAGAGCAGGCTGGATTGTAGCCTTTGCTACACTTTTGGAATAAAATGACTCATGTATGTCCTTGGCGGTGCTGGAAATCTTGGTTCCAGAGGCAACGGAGTCAAGGCAAAGCCACGGCCTCCCTCAAGCCCTTGCTCCTGACTGTGCGGGCAGACAGAGCTCTGCGCTTCTTCCTTCCTCCCCGACCGCATCTTGCTGTGCTCTCTAGATTGGTTCCAGGCAGACGTGGACTCTGTACATCCCCTTGCTGTAGCTCCTGAGGGCTGGCATGACAGACATCTGCCACAGCATCTGGGAGCATCTGAGTTCTTAGTCAACGACACATTTCAGAAAAGTAGAGTGGATAGGTGTAGTTGTCACACTTTTTTGAAACAGAAGTGACTTTAAGGAGGCCCAGGGCTCATTTCTCCTTCAGCACCTCCTTGTTGATGCAGTAAAAATAAAAACTTTTTCCCCACACCAGCAGTGTTTTGACTCTTCCCAGCTCGCACACTGCTCTTCAGAGAAAGACTTTGTGAGATACTCAATTTTCTTTACTATTAGCAAATAGATTATTGTGCAAAATGCATCTTAATTACAAAAACATCTTAGGTGAGCCCAAACCTACCCACTTCAAAACCAGCTAGTTAATTCGATTCCCTTGCTGGCCTCTGGGACTCCCAGCACACAGTAGGTGCTGAACACTGACTTTTTTTTCTAGATCAAAGCAACTTGAGAAATAGCGGCCATAGAAGTTGGAAGCTGTTTTCATTTCTGTGAGAAATGCTTTTTAAGACGCTGGTTTTCATTTTTGAAGGAGTTTAATGGAAGTCACGTGAACATTCTTCCGCGATTTTAGTACAGAGACAAACAGTGCAGCAGTTTCATCACAAGGCCTAGCGCCGTTCTCTTGCACTGACTTCACGTTGAAGGCTGTAACAGAGCACAGACATCCCTTTGTCCCGCCTGTCTGAGGGCGTACTTCTGCCTCTCAACCTCTGCTTACTGTTTTTAAATGTGCCTTGCACATGTTACTTTACTTTGTAGTGTCAAGAAGAAAAATCCAGGCAGAAGTGTCAGAATTCTGTTACAGCCACAGAATCCTCTCTGATAAAACGACTGCGATCAGCTCCGTTGTCTTCTGTGTATAAATGGCTTTAGATGATCGTGGAGAATTGGAGATGCTCTCAATGGTAAAGCTTTTGTTCACCGTTTGAATTGTTTGGGGAGTGTAGTGGACAGCCTGGGACACACGATGAGAGTAATAAGGAGGGAGATGGTTTATGAATCAGAGTGTGGCTTCTACAGGTCACTTCTTTCTTTTTTTTTAAATTTAAATTAGAAACATGCCTGCTTCAAATGTCAATCCCAGCTCCCGCCCCCCTTGTCCCTCCACCAGCCCCACCCCCACTCGCTCAACCCCAGCCCAATCCCCACATCTTTCCCCAGGGAGGGTGAGACCCTCCACTGGGGATCTCCAGATTCTGTCATTTCACCCAGGGCAGTACCTAGGCCCTTCCCCATGTGTCCAGACTGAGAGAGCATCCCTCCATGTGGAATGGGCTCCCAAAGTTCATTTGTATGCCATGATGAACACTAATCTACTACCCAAGGCCCCAGAGATTTCTGAGGCCTCCTCACTGACACTACATTCATGGAGTCTGGATCAGTCCCCTGTTGGCCTCTCAGCCATCAGTCTGGGGTTCAAGAGCCCCCCCCCCTTGCCCAGTCAGCTGTCTTTGTGGGTTTCACCAGCACGGTCTTGACCCCTTTGCTCATCACTCCTCCATCTCTGTCACTGGGTTCCAGGAGTTCAGTTCAGTTCAGTTCAGTTCAGTTCAGTTCAGTATTTAGCTGTGAGTGTCTGCCTCTGCTTCCATCAATCACTGGATGAAGGTTCTAGGATGGCATATAAGGAAGTCTCTCTGCTATTACTTAGTTTTCCAGTTGGTGTCATCCTTGTAGATCTCTGGAAATCTCACTAGTGTCAGCTTTCTCCTCAAAGCTGTAATGACTCCAACTATTATGGAATTTCTCATCCTGGTCTCCTCTATTCTAACCCTGACTAAACCTTCCTGCTCCCCCATGTCTTATTCTACCCTCCTCTTATCCCCCTCTCCTT